CATTCACAACATTTCACTTCCCTAAGTAAAAATGGACGTTCCTTTACCTGACCTCCTTCACCCTTCTTAACACTCAAGGTTTGCCCTCCTGGAGACCTCCACCCTCAGCACTTTCATGACCTCTGCTCAGACTTACCTCTGTTTTCTCTAATCTTGACTCTAGAGTCAGAGTTCACCTCTCTAACTGTGCTCTACTCTCAAATCCCTTTTGCCTTCATTCCATCATCCCTAATGCCTTGCCAAGTCTCAGTCCTCAACTACTCCCACCATTCACCTCTTCTGATCAAACCTGTGTGCTGCTGAACAATGGCATAAGTTATACAATTATAATGATCAGAAACAAAGTTCAGGGGCAGCTAGGCGGCGCAGTGGATAGAGCACTGGCCCTGAAGTCAGGAGGACCTGAGTTCAAATGCGGCCTCAGACCAAAGACTTGACACTTACTAGCTGTGTGACCCTGGGCAAGTCACTTAACCCCAAATGCCTTAAAAAAAAACCAAAAAAACAAAAACAGAAACAAAGTTCATATTATTCAACTTCAACCGGGCCTTCACTGCAGCAAGAAAATCCTTGTATTCTTCCCTGATTCCCTGTCTCATTTCCCCACAAACTTTTCCAAACCTATTCTCTCAAGCTTCTCATTCCTTCCACCTCCTGCTGGGCCGAGGGCTTTGCCTCTTCATTTATGGAGAAAACTGGTGTGATCTGATTGAGGATTTTCTTTTCCCCTCTCATCTCAGAATCTCTTGACATTACCCTCCCATCTTCTCCTTTCCACCAGGTCCTAACAATAAGAGAGACCTTCTCCTTATCAAGGCCAACTCCTCCACATGTACCCTTGATCCCATCCCTCCTTTCTTTTCAGCAGATGACAATCTCAAGCACCCCCTTCTCTCTATAATCCTCAATTTCTCCCTATTACATTCAACCTTTTTCAAGTCTCTTCCATTGTTTAAAAACAAAACAACCACTAAAAGCCCCCTACACTAGACCCTACTATCTGCTCAAGCTATTGTTCTGTATTTTGCTCAGCAAAATTTCAAGGAATCTATGCTGCCCCCTCATCCCCCCAGCTTCTGACTTCATCACTTGACTCAAACTGCTTTCTCCAAGGTTACCAATGACCTCTTAATTGACAAATATTTTCTCAGTTCGCATACTTTTGATACTGTTAATCACCCTCTTCCTGCTGCATACTCTCTCTCTCTTCTCTAAATTTTCATCTCACTAACTCCCCTGTGGTTCTTTTTATCCATAACTGCTCATTCTCAATCTACTGGCTTTTCATTCCTAACATACTCCCCAAATAGGGGTGTTCTCTTTTCTCTCTACACAACTTCATCAAATCCCACGGTTTTCCCCACTAAATTAGAGATTTATTACTTGAGTATGACATACAATCGGGTGATCACACAGAATAGGATGAATGAGGGCATTTCAAACATTGTTTCCAGCTTCCTGTTATACTTCAAAACCAGCACCAGGCAGGTGCATATGAGAGGCTGACAATTTGTAGATAATAACTACGCAGATGCAACCTCTTTAACAGATCTTATAAAGCTTTCCCTTGGTAGTGATGAAATTGTAATGGATCACTTTGGACAATGGACAACTGATCACTGAATGTCTCTTAGAATGAAAATCAGCATAGCACAGTAAATAGAATAGTAGACCTGGAATCAGGAAGACATGAGTTCAAACCTAGCTCAGGTACTTACTAGCCTGTGCAAGTGATCTAAACTCTAAGCTCCAGCTTCCTCATCTGTAAAATGGGGATTAAAATATTTGCAGTATCCAACTGACAGGGACATTACAGACAAGCACAGAATGTTACAACTGGAAGGGAACTAAGAAGCCATCTGGTTCAAACTGTATTATGTCACTTAAATCTACCTGTGCCTCTGTTTCCTTCCCTGTAAAATGACAGGTTGGACTATATGCCTGAGGTCCCATTCAGTGCTAGATCTATGAATGAGAATACACTGTGCAGCACAGCTGACAAGTTATCCAGACGCTTTTTTGGGGAAGTGTTTCCTTAATCAACCCTCTTTTCGATTTTCAATTGTTAATCTTAGTTAAGCCCTGCTGGAACAAGCAATTCAATGTCCTCCCATCCTTCCTCTTATATTCTATATTGCCCAGTACATAGTAGGTGCCTAATAAATGTTTGTCAATTTCTCTCTCTCAGCATAACAGAATTTTATTTACAAGTTAACAGAAATGTATAAGACTTGTACTCAAGCCTATAGGAATTAACCAAACCTACACGGAATAGTCAATGAGTACCCTTTCTCCCAGAGACCTCCTAAGTTTGGGGAAAATCATAGTACTGCTCTGGAGATGACTCTAGTGGTGGATGGGTGAGGGCTGATCCTCCACACTGGTGTTCCCTTCTGTGGGCTGTCTGCCTATGCATCATTGCTTTTTTTTTTTAATTAAATTTTTTTTCAATCAACAAAAATTTGCCTTCTCTCCCTCCATCTCCTCTTCCTGAAATCAGAAAGAAAAATGAATCCCGCTACCAAAAATGTATAGACAGGCAAAACAAATTATTGCATTGGCCACATCAAAAAAAAAGTTCCAATCTGCACTGAGTCTATCACCTCCCTATCGAACGGTAGGCAGCATGTTTCGTCATACATCCAGTGGAATGGTGGTTGGTCATTACATTGATCACAGTTCCTATAATATTCTTATTGTATAAACTGCTCTCTTGGTTCTGCTCACTTCATTCTGCATCAATTCATACAGGTCTTCCCAGTTTTCTCTGAAGTCACCCTCTTCATCATTTCTTACAGAACATTAATTAATATTCCACATTCATATACTACAACTTTCTCATCCATTATCCTACTGGTAGGCACCCCCTCGTTTTCCAATTCTTCAGTACCACAAAAAAAGCTGATGTAGGTTGGCAGCTATATAGATATAACAATCTTAACAGTTTGGTTTGCTTACTTAGGTCTAATTCCTTACTTTGTTTCACCCTCTTGTCTCGCTTTTTCTTTTTTTCCCCTCCTATTAAATAGGTCCCTAAGTACAACTGAGTCCAAGTTTTACAGAATAAATCCTTTTATTAAGGGGATTTGTTCTGTGAAGTCTGGATTCAGTCAAAGGACCGCACTCTCTATTCTTGGTTGCTTCTTGGTTAGAATGCAAGCTCCCCACAAATCGGGACTGCTTCATTCACTGTATCTGTATCCTGAGAGCCTAGTAAATCAGCCAAGTTAACAAATATTTATGGAGCTTTTACCACATGCCAGGCACTGTGCTAAGTGGAAAAAAGAGTGGCTGAGTGGCTAAGAAAGGCAAAAAGGGTTCCTGCTCTCAAGGAGAAGACATTCACATGGAGGAGACAACATATAGGAGGGTACATACAAGAGAGATAGCAGGGCACATATGAGATACAGACAGAATAGATGGGAGGTAATGTGCAAAGAAAGGCATGCTCTTTGTAAGCACCAAGGGTTTCATTCGTCATGCCTAACCAGGGCCTGGCACTGCAATACCTGATGATTGATTTGGGGATCAGTAAAGACAGATGTAAAAAGAAGTAAATTTCATTATCTGCTGCATAGTAAGGAAAGAGTCATGGTTTGTTTTTGTCATCAGCATTATCAAGATTAATCTGCTCAGGGCCAGTGCAGTCATTTGGCTCCATGACTTTCTCACATTAGGGAATCAACCAGAAGACAACATTCTAGTTAATTTCTATGCTGGCACTCACTGGCCAGGTTAAGTAAACCTCTCCAAAGAACTGATTCTTAATACAAAATACTGAACAAATATTTAATAACAAGTATTAAAAACAAGTTTGAGGTTCAAGTTTAAATAGGCTCCCAAAGAAATCAAACCAAGGAAAATGACCAATATGTACAAAAATATAAAGCAGCTCTTGCTGTGGTCACAAAGAACTGAAAATGATGGGATGCCCATGTATTGGAAGTATGGCTAAACAAATAATGGTATAATGAATATAATGGTATACTATCGTACCATAAAAAATGATGAAAGGGTAAATTTCAGAGAAACTTGAGAGGAACTGTTACTGAATAATTGAGTAGAACCAGGAAGACTATCTATATAATAGCATTACAAAGAAATCAGTGAGAATTAGGGAACTTTGATCAATGCAATTACCAAACACCTTTCTAGGACTGATTATGAAGCTTACTTAACCTACCTCTTGATGGTTAATGGACTCAAGATTGGACTGAGATAGTCATTTCCAGATACAGCCCATTTAGGAATCTGCTTTGTTTGATCATGTACATTTATTATGAGAGTTTTCTTTTCCCTTTTTCTCCTGCAGTAGAGGAAGCGGAGTGGGATGGGAGGGCAATGAGGGTTAGGGTAACCCCCATAAAAAAAGAGGGTCACTGAGGCATTTTTGAGGTCATTCTGCAGCTTCGGGGCATAGTGGATACAGTCCTGAACTTGGGAGTCAGAAGTCCTATTCAGATCCTACACCTCAGCCACTTACTTGCTGAGTGACCTTGGGCAAAATTTAAAATGTTAAACTCAGTTTCTTGTAAAATTAGGATAATAGCACCTACCTCACAAAGTCACTGTGAGGCTCAAATGAGATAACACGCAAAGTGCTTTGCAAACATTAAAAGCACTACATGGGGGCAGTTAGGTGGCACAGTGGATAGAGCACCAGCCCTGGAGTCAGGAGGACCTGAGTTCAAATCCTGCCTCAGACTTGGGCAAGTCACTTATCCCCACTGCCTAGCCAAAAACTAAATAAAACAACAACAACCAAAAAAAAAACACTACATGAATGTTCTTTAAAAAAATAAAATTAAAGAACAGAAGGAAGGCCAGAAAGGTTACTCAAGGAGGATGGTTTTAAAAGTAGCATTATATCCTTATATACTTCAAAAGAAAAACAGGCCACACACAGAGATTTTGGTTTCACATACAATCTTATTTTTTTGTTCTATTATGTATATACACATGCTTATTCTATTTCAAAGTTCAAAATTTTTAAAAACTAATTTTTTTAAATGTTTGGGGACATATAGTCAGATCTCCCATAGGGTCCCATTCCAGTGCCTCATTGTGGCATGGAATGGAACCTGAGATCTCAAAGGTGGTGTCAATGCAGCCTAACCATGGAGTTTCATTCAAAGAGTGAAGTGTTAATAGGAAACCTTTGCATTCATAGAACCATGTTTCACACAGGTAGCTTCTAAGGTGTTTTCAAATCCATTTTAAGATGCAGACGATGGCCCAGATCAAGTTAATGTGCACTCTTTTCAGATGGACCTGGCAGTGATAAAAGCAGGTGAAGGAGAGATCTCAAAAGATCAAGTAGGGTAGTAAACATGTTATCCAATACTACAAAGTCACAGGCTTTCCTAAGTTTTGTTCCATCCATTATTGTAATATAGCCTTACAATCAATCAATAAGCATTTATTTAGTGCTTACTATTTGCCAGGCACTACATACTAAGTGCTGAAGTTAAAACGAAAAACCAACTATTTTTGTTCATTATATTCCTTTTTAATTATCCTCAATTTAATAACTTTTAAGTTTGTCCCCTAAAGTGCCAGCTCAATTTTTATGTCATACTAACCAAAGAATATCAAGCACTTTCATAAGGGAATTATAATCTTCACCCTTCTTCAAAGCAGAAGTCTGAAAATTTCACAATAGGAACTAGTTAACCATAGGCTCTGAGTAATAAGAAGTGTGCTGTACTGCTCCCAAGCTACATATATATATATACATATATATATACACATATATATACACATATCTATATTTCAACTGCTGACTGCTGCCATCTTTCAAATTCTAAAAATTAAAAATATAAAAAACTCAAAATGAGTTTTGTCAGCAAAAGAATATTAGCAAATTTCCTACTATTTCCAAGTACCATAGTCTTTATTTATAACTAAGAGAGTCTACTGCTAAGTTACTTTTAAAATAACTCATAATTCTAAATCACTATTGATTGGAGAAATGCAAATTAAAACAGCTCTGAGATACCATCTCACATCTATCAAATTGGCTATTATAGAAAAGGAAAATGACAAATGCTAGAAACGATGTGGAAAAACTGGGACACTAATAATACACTACTGATAGAGTTGTGAACTGGTCCATCCATTCCTGAGAACACTTCGGAACTATGCCCAAAGGGCTATCAATCTCTGCATACCTTCTGACCCAACAATACCACTACTAGGTTTGTATCCCAAAGAGATCAAAGAAAAAGGAAAAGGACCCATCTGTACGAAAACATATACAGCAGCTCTTTCTCTGATGGCAAAGAACTGGAAATTGAGGGGATGCTCATCTACTGGGGAATGGTTAAACGAGGGGTGATATATGATTGTGATGGAATACTACTGTGCTATGAGAAAGGATAAGCAGGATCATTTCAGAAAAAACTGGAAATAATTTATATGACCCAATACAAAGTGAAGCGAGCAGAAACAGAAGAGCGCTGTACACAGTAACAGTAACATTGCAACAATGATCAACTGTGAATGATTTAGCTTTGTCAGCAACACAAAGATCCAAGACAATTCTGAAGGCCTCGTGATGAAAAATGCTATCTACCTCCAGAGAGGGAACTGACGGAGTCTGAATGCAGATCTCAGCATGCTATTTTTTAACTTTATTTTTCTTGAGCTGTTTGGTTGGGGTTTTTTTGGTCTGAGTTTTCTTTCCCAACAGGGCTAATATGGAAATATTTTGCATGACTGCACACATATAATCTGTATCAAAATGCTTTTCAGGGAGGGGGGAAGGAAAGAGAAAGAATTTGGAACTCAAAAAAATTTTTTTTAATGAATATAAAAATTGTTTTTTTACCTGTGGTTGGAAAAATATATAAAATTTTAAAACAAAACCAAAAGCCTCATAAGCATGAGAAGTGTGGGATGGCTGCTTAAGACTCTGAAACACTTGATTTACTGAAATGACAACTGGCTTTTTTTCCAAATAGTGAACCATGAGAAGCAATGGCTATTGCTTCTTAACATAAAGCCTATGTAACTCTAGAAGACTTCAGATTTAAGCAGCTCTATGAAAACCTCCATCTGTAAAGAACGTTCTTGTTCTTCCCTCACCATCTCTGACTCTGACGATGATCCTCAATTCTACCTAGTAAGCACGACTGAATCATCACGCAGCCAAGACCATCTGGGAGCTCTCTGACCCACAGAGTCTAGAAATCAATACCACAACAATGAATCATTAATATTTTAAATGAGGTAACAGTCCCATTAAGAGGATCACCTAAATTTTTAGGTTAACAAAACCAAGTGAGTTATTTAAAAAAAGGTTCAAAAACACATCTCTACTCCTTTCAGAAGTCCTCTTGTTGGATTATCTGCAACTATCTTCAATTACACAGAATGCTTTGTGGTCGGGGGAAATCCTAAGGGTGGTTTTGATAAATCTGTTTAATTTGAAACAAATACAAATATGATAAACAAACCTCTGCTGCCCACACTCAAAAAATCGGACTTAGTTGTTGCTCAATCATTCTAACACAGACAGGTTAAACCAACATGTCTCTCCACAGCATATGAGATTTGGCATACGCCTCTTTCCCAACTTGAGCGATACCAAGTAAACAAGAACAGAATTTAAGTGTTAGAAGGGACCTCAAAGATCATCTCTGATCCCACACTGTTCACAAGTAATGCTTCTCTATCTCATCCATAAGCCCACAGGAAAGAAACTTACATATAAGTGAAAATGTAAAAAGTGTGACAACACTTTAGGTGCGGCAACAGGGAACTTTGTAAGAAGAGTTTGCAGGTAGACTTCCAAATCTTTTTGTCTTTTCTCCACCAAACTTTTGGAATTTTTTCCAATTATCTTTTTAGGAGGAAGTAGGTTCTTATCAATCTTCTTTTCAGCAATAAGCTATAAGAAAACACACTCAGATTAACATCAAATAGTTTCAGTTTTCCCAAAAAGGAAGCCAAAAGCTTGAAGCATAGCAATCACCCAATCTTTCAAGGTCTCTCATCCATACTATGGGATAGAATGACTGGACTATGGCTCTAGGAATCAGAGCACCTAACTCTGTTTCTATAAACTATATCAGTAAAAACACCAGCACATTTCAGGGTGGGAACACCATCAAGCAGCCTTCAGGTATAATCACAAAAGCAACATGATGAAACCTCCCTCCACAAGAACTTCCTCAACAGAAGCACTGGTGCTTCCTTTAAAACATTTAGATGGAAAGAAACCCAGTTGAAGGGATTTTTCTAGAAGAAAACCAGAGTAAGAACTAGTAACTCCTACCACTGGGCAGGCAAAAGCAGACACTGAAGTATAAAGGATAAAATCTGAGTAGCTAAGATACATACATCAGAACAAAAAGTTCAAATCCCCCAAATCACTTCTGTCTAGCCCATTTTAATGATACAGATCATATTTGGGATGGAGTTGGGGGGTTAGGTATCTAGTGAAGAACTCAAACTAAGAGTCACTATACACTCTAGATGAACTACATAAAATTTCAAAGCACTAAAGCATGATGTTTTTAAGTTCTGGGATCAACATTCAGGGAGCCAGCTAATTGTAGCTTATTTTTTTAGTAATATTAATGCAAATTGCGTTCTTCAGTTAAAAAAAAGAGGGAGAAAAAAACTCTAGACTTTTTAAGATGCTTTCCCCCTCACAAAACAGCACAACGAATAATTTGCTCAAATAGTATACAATTCAAGAAAACAAAGCTACCACCTTCTAGAGATGCTACCTTTTCATGTAGATCATGGAAGTCACTGTAACGATGTTTGACTGTCCATTGATGACTGCCAACAGTAACTTGGATAACATAGACCTAAAAAGGAAATCAACAGCAACATGAAGGAGAGATCCCTCTGACAAGTCCAGGTCAGAGCAACAGGTATAACATTCAACAATCCCTCCGAGAGATGACAATTCCACGGAAAAGACTGACAAGACCCAAGTCAGGACTAAGTGACTTATATCCCAGGCACACTTACCTAGATCTCTGGATTATTACATGGCTTCTGCACATAGCCTACTTTTCTACCTCTTTCCATCATTGAACTCCAAATTGCACACCCACCCACACCATACATGTATGTATACACAGACACACACATACATGAACATATTTATACATGTATATACATGCATACACACAACATATATATCATGATAAAGACATACATTTTATTAATTCTATTTTTCTAAAACAGTCATGAAAACGAGGCTTATTTTACAGGAAAGGGGAGGGAGGTTTGGTCAGGGAAAACTAGGGAGTTGAACAATATTTCATTCTCCACTGTGAGACCAGCTGAACTTTATTCTCAAGACTTCACCACCATGGTCTCAAGGTGACTACTTCCCCATTACTTTTCAGCTCCTCTTTATATGTAGTCTTACCCATTAGAGTATGAGTTCCTTGAGTGGAGAGCTGCTTGTTTTTGCTTGAATCTGTATTTCTAGCTCTTAGCACGGTGACTAACAACACATAGTACTTAATAAATACCTGTCAACTTGATTCCACAACCCACAACTGAATACTGTACATATGCCCCGGGCAGTTCCCTAGCCCCTGAAATCAAGTATCGCATTTAGAAGCTTTCTTGTCAATCAGACCTATATGGAGGCACTCTGACTCAAACCAATTCATCTTATACACAAGGAAGCATAACCTTTCTAAAGCCCAGCTCTGATCATGTCACATCACTATCTAGCCAAAACTTCAATGGCCCTCTTCTACTCGAGCTATAAAGTCCAAGTTCTACGTCTAGCATTAAAGTCTCTCTGTACTCTTCCTTCGACCTATCTTTCTAGTCTTATCACTTATTTCTTTTAAGAAGTAGCAATTATGCCTTTTAATTTTACACTAGTCATTTGCCTACCACAGAATTTCAAAGCACAATACTGATTTCATTGCTTTCTTTAAGACTACCTCCTTGGTACCACTCTGCATCTATCAGATTGGCTAACATGATAGAAAAGGAAAATGACAAATGCTGGAAAGGATGTGGAAAAACTGGGACACTAATGCACTGTTGGTGGAGTTGTGAACTGGTCCACCCATTCTGGAGAACAATTTGGAACTATATCCAAATGGCTATCAAACTCTGCATACCCTTTGACCCAACAATATACCACTACTAGGTCTGTACCCCAAAGAGATCAAAGAAAAAGGAAAAGGACCTATTTGCACAAAAACATTTACAGCAGCTCTTTCTGTGGTGGCAAAGAATTGGAAATTGAGGGGACGCCCATCTATTGGGGAATGGCTAAACAAGTTGTGATGGAATACTACTGTGCTATAAAAAATGACAAGCAGGATGGTTTCTGAAAAACTTGGAAAGACTTATATGAACAGATACAAAGTGAAGTGAGGAGAACACTGTACAGAGTAACAGCAATACTGCAACAACTGTGAGACTTAGCTACTCTGATCAACACAATGATCCAAGACAATTCTGAAGGACTCCTGATGAAAAATGCTATCTACCTCCAGAGAGGGAACTGATGAACTCGGAAGGCAGACTCTCACTTCCTTTGTTTTTCTTGCTTTCCCTTTTACAATACATTTCACGTGGAAATGTTCTACATGATTTCACATGTATAATTGATATCATACTGCTTGCCTTCTCAATGGGTGGGGAAGGGAAACAGGAAAGAATTAAGTTTACTTTAAAAATAACACTTTGTCAAAGTAGGCCTGGTCAATACTTTATCTCAACTGGATGTTACATTTCTTCATACTGGCTTTGCTTCTTGAGGCTATTAGGTCCCTTCCAACTTTAAAAGGCAGGGAAGCAGCTTGGTGTAACGGAAAAAAGACCAGACTCAAAAGTTAGGTGGGATCTAAATTCAAATTCTGTCTTTCACACTAGCTAAGTGGCCATGGAAAAGTCACTTAATCTCTAAGCCTCAAGTTCCTCTCCTATGTGAAAAAGAGATAAGACCTGTAGTAGTTTTCGAAGTATTTTTCAAAGGCTGTTTGATGTCAGGCCCAAATGAGAATTTTGCAAAGTGCTTTGTAAGCCTTAAAGTTCTGTGTAAATATTAGCTATTATGATTATTAAAGTTCAATGAGATACAGTCTTAGAGATCTAATTCAAACTTAAATTTAGAAGCAGCTAGTGGAGCAGGAGATAGAGAGCTGGGCCTGCAGTCAACACCTGAGCTCAAATTTTAGCCTTAGACACTGCTAAGCTGTATGACCCTGGGTAAGGCACTTAAATTCTACCCGCCTCAGCCTCAACTGGAAAATGGGGATAATAAATAACAGCATCTACTAGTTGGGGTTGCTGGAAGGACCAAACGCGATATCTGCAAAGTATTTAGCACAGTCCCAGGCACATAGTAGGACCTCAATAAATTCCTGTTTCCTCCCTGCTTCACAGGGTTGGGAGGATCAGATAACATGGGTAAAAATCAGACCCATGAAGAAACTGAAACCTAGAGAAGAGGCTGTCATACATCAAGTTTATTCTTGCATCACAGCAAATCTGGAAAAATAGGGTTTTTCTTTTAATGGTGGGACTGGAATCAAGATAAAATCTACCTTGTCTCGTGGAGCCGATCATGTTATAAATGTTAGCCATTATTACTATCACATGTTGAGTGAGACCTGTAACTTTTGCTGCTATAAGGACATTACGGGTAAAGTAATATTTAAATGATCTTCTGCAGATAGGAGAAGTCATGCCAAGATTCTGTTGGTCAGTGGCAGATGAAGTAAGGGTGGCAAAGGCATGCAATTACTTAATGTTTCCTTCCCAGAGAGGACCAAGGTCTAACACTCTGCTTTCAGGAACAGTGCGGCCTATGTAATATGTAAGCTCAACACAAACGCCAAAGCTGTGGTTTAAGTGTCAGGCCTCGTCAGAAAAGTCCCCACACAGCAGTATTAAGTCAGGCTGCAACTGATCTAGCAGAATACATGAGGCAAAGACTACTTTGTATGGTTCAATCCATACCCACTCTAAGAATCATGCTCCACATCCTCTGGCAATCAGCAAGAAGCTTGATCAATACTGATGTCTAAGGTCTTTGCTGCAGAGACTCAACCGAAGTGGTCTACAAATATTACTGGATAAAACCAAGGCTACTTGGGAAGTTTTTCTGAGTAAAGTTGAGTCATGATGCCTTCAAAGTGACTTAAAAGTGAGCTAACGTGAGAAACTACCCTCCATACACAATCAGGTCAAATTTCTAGCACTGGCTCTGGAGTAAGAAGACTGAGTTCAAATCCTGTCTCAGTCACCTACCCTGTGTAACCACAAGGGGATTAATAGTTGTTCCTAAACTCTCTGCACTCGTTTCCTCAACTGCAAAAGGAATTGTTCTAGATAGGCTCTAGGGGTATTCCAGGTCCAAAATAACGAGCCCATGATCTCTTACAAACAGAATAGCATGTCAGAGATTACTTTAGAATGTGCGCTCCTGGAGGAAAGGGGCAGATTTTGCCTTTCTTTGCATCCCTCGCCCTTCTAGAGCACAGTGCTAGCTGCTTGCTGACTGCTGTTTCATGATTCATCTAGGAGCCAGGGAAGAAGCCGATAAGCTCAAATCTTTAAGCTTTAAAACTCCACCGGCTCAACCAGGTGGCTCTCCTAATCAGTTAAGATGAATTTAAATTCTTGCATCAGTGAAAACGAGCTGCTACCACACCTCAAAAATCACATCAGAGCCTTTCACATCTCTTCCTCTGTTTAAAAGAAAAC